ACCGCAACTGCATGCTCACATGGAAAATTGTCCAACTGAAATTTCGTACAAATGCATGTGTTATCAGTCAAGTCTACGATATATGCCGTATTACGTGCACATTGCACTGAAAAGCAGAACTCATCTAGTGCTTCCACATTCCACTTCCTCGCAACTTCTGCCGCCTTAAAGAGTTGCTCCTCCTGAGCTGGGGCCAACACGCTAGTGCAACTCTGTGATGCCGCACGTTAGTCATGAAATCATCGTTGCAGCTTGTTACGAATGTTCTCAATCATTGCGAGAATTGGTAACTCTCGATCCTTCTTAAACAATGCATTGAGAGACTCCGCGTTATTCGACGTTATCATATTGTATCGACGTCCTGAAAAGTATGACCGCGCCCAATGTTCGATCTCCATGTTCATCAGATACTCCAACGCCAGTAATGATTTACATCCTATCTCGAACATAAATTTATTACACTCTTCAGCACTGTAAGTTTTGACTGCTCTCCTGAACAATGAAACGATGTCTTTACCCCGATACCTAGTCTTCAAATTACCTTGTGTATGGTACATGCAATAGCTGTGATGTGCCTCGGGAAAAACTTCAGCGATACCGTTTATTATAGACTGTCCCCGATCGGTTACAAAGGCAAGGTCTTCGACTTCCCCGATCACTTCCCTCAATTTAGAAAAGAACCAACGCATAGACAGATCATTCTCACTGTCGACTATGCCGAATGCAATAGGGTAAATTTGGATGTTGACGTCTTGACATGTAGCAATAATTAATTTGCCTTGATATTTAACTTTCAGAGTTGTATCAACTAGAATTACGGGTCGCATTGCATTTCGAAAACCCCGAATACATTATCCGAGAGCCATGAAGAAATACTTAAAACAATTATCGCCCCCCATCTCAATAAAAAATGCCGTGTAAGGATTAGTTGTCCTCATGTTGTGGCAATACCTGACCAATTTAGCATAGCTCTCCTCAGCCGATCCCATTAAATCCTCCAACGCACATTCTTTGACCTTCTAGGCTTTCTGGTAGCTTATGACCACTCCATACTCTCGACGGACGTCATTAAGTCCAAAAGTCTGTAGATCGTCCGTGGGTCCTGATACTTGTGCATTATCTATCGACCAATAAACCATGCTTGAGCTTGCCTGTGATCATTTCGACAAATTCTCACTTCGCAAGTATGTTCCCGTGTATATTTGCGAACTACTAAGCACTCATTCGTGTCTATTTCAACAAATTCTCACTTGGTTGATTTCTTTACCTTAAACTCAAAGTTATATTTTAATGTCATCCTTCCTGCAAATCTTTCTTGGTTTCAAATAGTTGTTCGACAAAAAAATCCTCATCATCGGGAGCCACACGCGAAGAATTGGAGGATAGTCCACTTGTTCCACCCCCTGAGCTCCCATCCCGCTCAGGTCTCTTTCAGGATAAAGCAATTAAATTTTCATTTGTAAAATCATTTATATTTTCGTTGTCTTCAACTGTCGACGGAATTTTGTGCGTAACAGTGACTTCACGATCAGTAGCAACTGTCTCGGGAATAACCACATCATCTGCAGGAACTATCTCCACCGTCTCCCAAAAATCTCAGTCATTATTATCCGCTCCATCTGAATCTTCGCGTTCACCTTCAACAACATCCTTCTTAACTAAAATCACGCCAAAAACAGTCGGAGTCCTATGCATTTTATTCAATTCTAATAGATAATTCAATTCAGCATCATTAGTAACAAATATAGGTGGCATCGGAATGGATGAATCCCCATTACCATTGAATAAATATCTCAATTGCATATTGTACTGAGAAGAATCAACGTTCAGCTTATTTTGCAAATCCTGGTACACTTCCGCATATGATGTACTCTCTGTTACGGGAATTGCAATACAACCACATACATCACTTGTTCATCTCCATTCCCATCTATTATTTTCATTCAATTCGAAATCATCGAAATAACAGACCGGGATTATCATATCTACATGACGATATAGAATTTTTAAATCAATTACAACAACAAAAATTCAGATATTTAATCAACTTGTAATTAAAATTATAAGACAATTGCCAAAATATAAATTAATAATAAAAAAATTCGTAAAACAGTCGGAAAAAAGCCGATTGTGAATTGTTTTACAGCCAACAGTCAGCTGTTAATGTGAGAAACAGCCAACTAACAGTTGGCTGTCAGCTGTTAGACAGTCTTTTGACGGTCGGTTGTCTGCTATCTAACAGTCTTTGTTAACATCCCACAATTAATTGCTGAACTGTTTATTTTTTCTATGTTCTAAAAAAAATTATAGATCTATTAAATTTTTTTTCCCACTAACTATTATGTTATTTAACTACTCAAACGTACACTAATTTACTGAAATTGAAATTAAGCATGTGTAAAAATAGACTTACTGATTTGAAGTAATTGATCAGAAAAAAATTTTGATTTCGGCGTTTGAAGTTTTTTGGTATTTTGATGTTCAAGCAGATGAAAAATGAGAGTTATTCTGTGTTCAAAGCTTGTTCTACAGTTTTATAAGTGGGGAAGTGTTTGATTTTCAATTATTAACTAAAAGGGTAATAATGTCTTTTAAACTATCCAATATTTTGTAATTATATAATATATTTAAGGGCATCTCTGTATTTTACCATTCAAGATGTTAAAGTGATAATTTTCAAGTTTTTAAAAGTCAAAATGGAAATAAGGACCTTTGATTAAGTCAATTTTATAAGTACCCCCATGTTTGAGCCACATTATTTCAAAAAAATACATTCTTAAATAGTGTTTTGATATCATTTTAACCACACATTCTTTAATAAAATAATATTACACGTAAATTCAAAACTTTTCTTTATTTTTTAACCACACATTTCCCATCAATAGACTATTCAAAATTTCATTATAAGGAAAATAATGTGAATCAAACAAGGGCTGAATATCATTTCTGAGCATCATAAATGTGCCATAGAACTCAAAAATTAAGTTGATGCTGTTGTAGCACAACTAAAAGATATACTGTCTGAGACAGATATACCAAAGAGCTCAGAAATAAGTTTTTCAAACCAATACCAAACAGGGACAGTTAGAAGCAGCAGTGGACCCAAACGCGATAACATACCAACTGATAATAAAAGAGATTCCATTTCAACATCATCAGCCAAAAAAGTTATGATACATGGAGATAAAAGAGATACCAAAACAATCAGCATCACAGACCAAGAAGATAAAATCCCTTTATATCCAAAAGAAGAAAAATATGCCAACATAGTCAAAATTGCTTATGAAATAAAAATGAGTGATTCATATTTCATCTTTTCAGGAAATAATGTTTATCCCAAAATAATAGCCATGGAAAGAGGAGACCCTTCATTTATAAAAATTATGGCAGACTACGGATTCATGGATTTGATATATCCAGAAAAATATTTGATTAAAATTTCTAAGTTTGATGACATATTCATAAAAGAAGTATCCAGATTTGCCAAATGACGGAAAATATATTTGAAATTCTATTCAATAAGTTCATAATATGATGGAGTTGTTTACTATCCAATTGAACACATAATCTCAATTGGATATGTTGCAGCCAATTTCCAAATAGATGTTATAGAAAATAATAAAAAAGTTCTGACAGTGACAAAATTATGGATCAGATATAAGAGAGCATTTAGAATTAAAGTCATCTACAATATTGCCAAAAATTTGTTTAATTAAAAATTCGCATGCTTGTGTTAATATGAAAATTGAATGTTGGTATCCAATGGAGGATATGGAAAATCATAAATTTTAAAGGACTATATTATAAGATTCAATATATATCAATTTTCAGGATGTCCTACCACTATAAAAGAATCATGTCAGCTAAGGGAGTGCCCCAACTGCATGTGAAGAAATAAAGGAAGATGACAATAATAGAGCACATTTGACAAATGTGTATGGAGGACAATAATACAACAGCATGTGAAGACATTGAAGAAAAAGAGCAATAATAGAAAAAGATGCTCTTTGGATAAAAAGTTGAAACAATATGTGAAGATGTAGGCGCAAGGAGGAAAATAATAGAAAGGTGAGTGGCCTTTGCTGATGTACTCAATGATGTAATAGTTTCATAAACTTGTATAAATAGAGTCATTGTGATAGATAGAATATATCTCATCTTATCTTGAAATCTCGAGTTGTAAGCATAGTTACTTTAAAAACCATTCCCACTTTGAAAAATCAGTTTTTCTAAAAATCCCTTTATACCAAATAGAAGTCTTGTATAGATTCTGATAGAAATAAAACTCCAATATTTTAATATGAATATGAGTTTCTAAATCTTTATTCCCATAAATTCTTGAAGGATCTGATAAAAAGTTCCATTCTTATTTTAGTAAAAAGAAAGTTTTTCATTAACAGAAGTATAAAATTTTATTCTTTAGAAGTTGATACAATGAGAGCAAGTAACTGAAATAGTAACAATTTCATGAAGGCAGGAGGCCGTTGAAGGAAACAGTTTACAGATTTAGAGCTCGAAAGTCACTCGGTTCTAAGAATAAAAGTTCAGATCAAACCTAACGTAAAACTATTAAACTTTTGCTAAAATTAGAATGAATCTTTTTAAAATTTTAAAGAATCGTAGGGATTAATTGATGATTATTTGTATGGATAAATGTCAGGTTATACAATTGAAGGATTAAATAATTTATTAGAAAGAATGTTAGAAAAAATAAAGAACATTATCTCTCAATTAGAAAATATAAATTTACTATTTGAAAAATATAACATTTTAATTAGAAAATATAAAATATATATTGCAGATTATTCTTATTTATTAGATCATAAAATGGATTTATATTCAAATATTAAAAATAGAAGATAAAATATTTAAAAGATTAAGATATATATTACAATATAAAAAGAATCATTTTATTAAAGATAATATAGACATTTCAATCAAAAAAGATTACTAACAGATTAAATAGAAAAATCTTTAGTGTCTAGCGTTAATACCAGTCAGTCAAACTAAATAAAATCGAAAGAAAATCCACACAGATTAATGCCTCCAAGTTTGACTTCTCCATTCCCTTACATGATACGTTGTTTCAAATTTCTTCATCTGTTCAATCTGAATCCTCCCTGTTCCGTATGAAATTTAAGCAGAATTATATCAGTCGGATCTTTATCTAACCTAAAACAATTTTGAATTGAATTGGTTATGGCGGCGGTACAGGCTGAGCAGCGGTTGTGGGACGGCGTTTTGGAGCTGACTAAGGCGGCTCAAGAGAAGGGCACCGACCCTCTGATGTGGGCCATGCAACTATCTTCAAACCTCACCGCCGCCGGAATCTCCATGCCTTCCACTGAGGTTGCGGAGCTTCTTGTATCGTACATTTGCTGGTCCAATAATATCCCCATCGCCTGGAAATTCCTTGAAAAGGCCCTGACTATCCGTATAGTGCCTCCTATGTTTGTTGTTGCGCTTCTCTCAACTAGGTCCATGCTCATTTCTCCTAATTTGTTGATTATATTACAAACCCTCGTGTATGATATACAAGCCTCCATTTGGAAAATTTATGGATGTGTTAAAAATATTAATAGTGACTTTAACGAAATGTGTGAATATTAATGAGTGGTAGTTATGAATGTGAATTTATATAAATCATTTATAAATTATTATCCAAACGGATGCTTAACTCGACTGGTAATTTATGTTGTGCAGGGTGATTGCCAATCGGAGGAGGTACCCGGTGGCATATAGGTTATACATGGAGCTTCTTAAAAGATATGCTTTCTCGTTGCCATCTCTAACTAATGGCCCGAGCTATAAAAAGTACGACTTTGTTGTCTTTCTTAATTTTGGTCATAGAGTTATTACAGTTTGATAGATAGTTTCAACTCCCAGGTTTCTGTATATGTGATGCTTAATGTGTATGTGTTGTACTACTACTTTTACACTTTCTTTGTGTCCACTGCATATGGCCTGGAAGGGCATTTCAACTATTATCCACTGTTGAAGCCTTGCAAGGATTTATTTTGGTTAAGAGTATAGCTGAAATCCTTAGAAATTTTGAAAAATAACCAAGGAAAAATGCTATCTGGGATACTATGAATTATGGAAGCAGCGTCTATGCATTGCAGAGTGATATTAGTGGAAGCAAATTAAGTTTTCGTTTTCAACTAATACGTGATACTTTGATATATATCTGAAAGAGTAATAGATCAATTAGTGCAACATAGATCACAAATTTGGGCTTTTCCTGCTTTCACAATTGAAGGCTTTTTGTGACACTATGAAGCTTGTCAGACTCCTACCCTTGGTCGCTTCCCTTCCACCTCTCCATCTGCTGATTATAATTTGGATGCAGAACTGAATAGAGATTTAGGGTCTATTATTATTATTATTTTATTTATTATTATTATTATTATTTTTTTTTGGCCCTCTAGAGAAAACTGCTCTAGGGCACCCTTTTTCGTTGCCACCAAAATGATGATGAATTAATGAAAGATTTCTGGGAGATTTCTATAGTTCTCCACCAGAAATTTTTTTCCAATATGTTTGATTTTATTAGTTGAAACACTTAAATTCTTCTAGTGTATTTTTGAAATAAGTATTTTTTTTTTATTAATATTTTTTATATATATTAGCGGTGGCTGTAAAATATAGTTTGAACAAATGTTTGCAACCATTTATTTTTGTTTAAAATTGATAATTGCCTAGTTTTATTTCTTTAGTAACTGAATAATCTCAGAACATTACTGTTAATGACACCCAAAAAATCGCCTGAATTTTATTTAGTGGACACGAATTATCAATTATTTTGGCATTTAGAACAAGAATTTGTTGCCGACGTGCTTGATTTCTAACTTCGACTGTCCAATTGCAGGATTATGGAATCCATAAATGTTTTCCTTCATTATTCCCAAATATTTGAAATTCGGTCATCAGAACCTGGGCTTCTTCTTGTTGTATATATATTTTCCATCGTATGGGAGCTACTCGATGCGTCGCTTGATGATGAAGGTTTGCTAGAACTCACTTCTGAGAAGAAATCTAGGTGGCTGACCAGGAGTCAAGACATGGAAATTGACAAACTTGATAGCTTTGATGGGAAGAGAATGGAACACCAAGAAGCTATGCATAAAATGAATACTATTACGGCTCTTGAAATAATTGGTGAATTTTTTCGGAATAAAGTAACTTCCCGGATCCTCTATTTGGCTCGTCGAAACATGTAAAAATCTTTTCTTCTTCTCCTTCTTTTTTTTTTTTTTTTTTCACATTAAAGTTCTTGAATTGTTCTCAGCTGAATGTGCCTTGAGTAAATACCTTGAGCATCCCCAAGAGGTTCTATATTAACTCCATACTCTTTATTCTGGAGAGTCTATCCTTTTTTTAAGGAGTCCAACAAACTCTCAATATGTAAAAATTAAAATAAAGAGTGGACTTGACACTCCATATAGAGACATACCCGCTCTCTATTTACTACTTTTAATTCTTTCATTTATTGTTTTACTTATTTTTATGCCTCATTATAATTATATATTAATTGATATTTTTAATATTTTACTCATATTATTTGCAGCTCTTTGGTTTTTACAGAAACATTTCCCCGCTTTGAGCCATAACTGCTTATGGGCAAAAGCAAAATAAAAATAAATTTAGTGTTGTTGAACTTGTATAAAAAGTCTCTTTCTTTATTTTTCAAAAATCTTCAAGATACTCTATATTTTTAGAAAATATGCTCCTTAAAATAAAGAGCATTGTTGGAGACGTTCTTAGGAGATTCACATTACAGAATACGGCTGTTGGACTTTTGCATGGTTAAAAACTGCAGTTAAACATGTGTTTCTATGTTTTCTTTTAGGCCCACACACTGGGAATACTTTATTCGGAATTTGCGATTGCTTGCTGCTAATTCGTCATCTTTAAGAAACTCGAAGCATATTTCTCCAGAGGCCCTCTTGCAGTTAACAGCTGATACACGTCAACTCCTATCTCGTAAATGCAAAACAAACTTACAGCAACAGTTTCATGCTGTAACAGCTGGATCTCCCGTGTCTTCCTCTGGTCAATGTCATGGTGTTGGCCGTTCAGCACTCTGGCTTACTATAGATCTTTATCTTGAAGACACAATGGATGGATCACAAGTGGCAGCTACCAGTGCTGCTGAAACTCTTACTGGTATAATTATCTAAATTATAATTTAAGCACTTATTATTTTGACATAGTTTCACTGATACAGATGAGTATTGCAGGTTTAGTAAAGGCTCTCCAGGCATTAAATCAGACCTCCTGGCAGGATGCATTTCTTGGTTTATGGATTGCTGCTCTACGTCTTGTTCAAAGGGTAAGAGCTCATGCAAAAAGAATCAATGAAAAACTTGTTTTCCAAATTTAAAATTCAAGTTTAAGTGTTCCGTCTTTTTAATTCCTTTGGGATTGAGAAAAGACCTGTTATATGATGTGATTTCATTGAATCCTAGGAGTAAGTGTGATAATCTGTGTGATTTCCCTGCTTCCTTCTGTGTTTTCCAGATGCAGGTTAATACTGTACTTGGGAAATTTCTTCTTCTCGAATAAAAACAAACTTAGAAATTTATTATAGGCGTTATCATATATTTTTAGTCCCTTGCTAGGAGTCATCACATAATTTTTAGGCCCTTGCTAGTATAATCGAAGTCCTTTAGGACTCGAGTTTGGCTTATTCACATGTTTTGGCAGCAGATCCGATTTCATTCCCCATACCATCAGCTGATACAATTTGATATGTTACTAAGAGGGTGACTCAATGAAATTTCTAATCAATCACAGCATTAAATATAGATGTCATAGGAAGCTTTGCATCTCTAGGAATTCATTTTTGAATTATCCAATATTGTGATATATTGCTTCTGGATCTGTTCAGGAAAGGAATTCAAGCGAAGGTCCAGTTCCTAGGCTTGATACTTGTCTGTGCATGTTATTGTCTATTACGACTCTTGCAGTTGTCAATATTATTGAAGAGGAGGAGATTTCTTTGATCAGAGAAGCTGAACGAAGCTCCATTAATCAAAGGAAAGACGTACAGTCTGTGGGAAAGCGGCGGCGAGACCTAGTTTCCAGCTTACAGCAGTTAGATGATTTTGAAGGTTTGCTGATTCCACCACCACCTGTAAGTTCATTGGCTAATCAAGCTGCTGCAAAAGCAATGATGTTCCTTTCAGGCCTAACAGTAAGCGGTGGACAACTTGATGGCATGAGTTTTAATGACATGCCTGTGAATTGTTGTGAGTGATCTCGTTATCTGCATGAAAGTGATACTGATTTTATTTTTTTAATTATTTCTCTGGACCTGCTTGAATGCTACTTTTTGCAAATTTCTAGTTTCTAAATGCGTTTCTTTTGGAGGTTATGTAGGCGCTTCTTTTTTTACCCGAGATGATTAAACTTCCTAGGGGATTTGAGTGCAATCCTCTAGTTGAGAAAATTCTGCACGCCCGTTCCTATATTGTCCAAAAAAAGGGAAAATTATTCCCGCTCTTTTCTTGCTAATAATAGCCTTTGACTTTAGTTATCAACTTCTTCATACGTATTCAATTTGTCTTATCCACGTCTTCATTTCCTCTTTCTACCTCCATGTATACAAATATTATTTTCCATTGCTATTGATATCTTTTTTTGACAAGTCTCTTCTATTATAACATGGAGAGAAGGGTTGAGGGTGGGTGTGGGTGCAATGGTGCATTTGTTCTCATACTGTTGGATAACTTCCTCACGGTTAATTGGCTGCTCGTAATTTTTTGTAACCATTTACAGCTGGAAACCTGCGGCACCTGATTGTTGAGGCTTGCATTGCTAGAAATGTCTTGGATACATCAGCTTATCCGTGGCTCGGATATGTAAAAGGTCGTTGCAGCCAAGTTCCCCGAAGTGTTTCTGGACAGGTGACTGGTTGGTCATCATTAATGAAAGGGTCCCCGTTAACACCTCCATTGGTCAGTGCCTTGGTATCAACTCCGGCTTCTAGGTATGAAGGCATTTGTGCCTTCAAAAGATTTTTATAACAGTTCACTGGCTTGTTGTATGATAGGTGCCCCAGCGGTAAAATAGCTTTCCAAAGATTGATTTACATATGGTTCTAGGTTTGCATTGTCAGTGTAGCCTCATAACACATCGTGGCCTGTCTTGCCTGAGAAAATAGCATTTTATGAACTAAGATATGGAATTGAAAATTGTTTTATGTCTGTTTAAAGGAAATGGAAGATTGAAAGGCCGTTTTGGGTACCGATATTACCATCTAGCTGAAATCCAAAAAAATTATTGGTAAATGCAACCTAGGTCCTGGATATAGATCCTTTAACCCTGAAATGAACTTGTTTTCTTAAGTAAGTCATAACATCATTGTGGTAATTTGTTCCTAAGTAATAGATGATAAGCTGTAAAATGTTAGGTAAAAATTGAATAATTAATCCTTATCATCCATTATGCCCTTGTTTGAGCCCCATTCTTGCCAAAAAATGCATTTTTGAATAGTGTATTGATGGAAAATGTGTGGTTAAAAAATAAAAAATAAAAGTTTTTGATTTGCGTGTAATATTAATTTAATGAAGAATGTGTAATTGAAATGGGGTCAAATCACTATTGAAGAATGTATTTTGATGGAAATAATGGGGCTCAAACAAGGGCTATATTTCTCATCCATGCCTAGCTAGAATGTTAGATCTCTTTCCTGAAGCCAAATGTATCAGATTTTATTTTATTTTACTTTTTCTGTTAATTTACCCAGTGGTAAAGCTACTGATTTAAAGCTCGTGATTTGATGGAAGCTTGGCAGAATTAGAGAAAATGTATGAGATTGCTGTCACTGGTTCGGAGGATGAGAAGATGTCTGCTGCTACAATATTCTGTGGGGCTTCTCTAACTCGTGGATGGAATATACAGGTAATGCTATATATTTTTCGACTTTATGTGACAGTAGAGCAGAATTACTGATTACTTGAGATTCCAAAGAATATACTAGATTTTCAGCTTGTGTTTTGCATTAGTTTTATTCCAATTTGTGAAGTCTTTCCTTATGGTGGGTGTGAATTTTCTTCATTAAATTTATTTATGCGGATGTGTGAATCATCGAAAATTACTTTGAGAACTTAAGCAACATCGGGGAATACTTATGAACGCATGAAAGGTTTTTTCATTTTTTTGCCTCCAAATTTTTTTTTTCTCATAATAATTGGTACTATTCAAGAAGCTAGTCCACAGAGTGGTCTTTATTTTGGATTGAATATCTTCTCGTGCTTTATTTTTACGTACACATGCATTTCTGGCTCATTCTTTTTTCCTAATTTGCCTTTGTTTATGCTTGCAGGAGCACACTGTCCTGCTTATTGCAAGACTGCTTTCGCCTGCAATTCCTACAGATTTTTCCGGAAGTGAGAGCCATTTGATAGGTTATGCCCCATTGCTGAATGTACTCCTAGTCGGAATATCATCTGTCGATTGCATTCAGATTTTTTCATTACATGGCATGGTAGGTCTATTTACGCTAAAGAATCCGTGAAGCTCAGAATGACAAAAGCAGCTTTGAATTTGTAGATTTACCCCACTAGAAACTGCACAAGAATATTGCAGAAAAGAATACTGAAACGTGTGTGATGAATGATGATTATGTTTTTAGTAACTAGACAACCAAGAAATCATTGAATACCTAATGCATGTCTCCACATGTAAACAAATGTGCAGTAACTGAAACTTGGTTTGTGCATGGCAATTAAAAAATTACATTTATATATGAGTTAAAAATCGATATGAGCACAATACCGGAAAAAGGTCATCAGAACACATCCATAGAAATTTATATATATATATATATATAT